CGCGCCCCCTGTCGCGCCCCCCCACCCACCAGGCTAGCCGCGGGACCCGCACCCGCTCTCACCCGCCCTTCCCCTCTCGGTTGGTAAAGTTCCTGCCGAATTGGAGAAGCGGGACAACGATGGAAACAGGCGCGGGACAGACCCTCGTCCAGCCTATCGAGGCCCAAGAGCCGCCCTGTGGGTCTGAGGACCCACTGACTAGCGCTCGGTCAGGTAGGGGACGGGGAAGCGGATAGATAGGCGACTCAGAAGGGACAACTCGACAGACTTCCCTAAATAGCTAGAGAAGAGTTAATCGACTGAGTAGATTGATGGACGAGAGGAAGCCCCGGGAAATGAGAGAAATAACTGACGGGTGGCAGTCAATTCAGAATGGGAGGACATCAAGCAGGCACTTTACGGTTTCCCCTAAGACCTGTAGGTATGGGGGAAGGGAGAGGGAAGGGAATGGGGTTTTGCAGACCGTCGTGCTCGGGCTCACTGTGGGAACAGTCATTCGCTCGACCAGTCTCTAAGATAGTGACAGTACAGAAGCAACGGCAAATGATCAACAGGGCAAAGAACTGATGATGAATTTACTTTTGCAAATGGAAAGAAACTCTCAAAATGTAAATTATACGTTTGGTGGTGGAGGGGCGGGGATTACAATAGTTCTAGGTGGTGTTAATCACCAAATAGTCCAGGAGATAACCCTGGGGTATACAGTGGTACTTAGACCTATGAGAGGGGAGCAATAGCATCAAAGGCGCTGAAATGAGTCTCAAAACGCTATCTCCCGCTTTGCTGTCCCACTCAAAAGGGTCTTAGAAGGAAACTAGTTCTATGGACAAGCGAAAGAGATGGGGACAAGGTTTAACAGATGTACTTGCTGCTACCCATACCTTGTAGCTATTTCTTTTCATTGGGGGAAGATAAGTCTAACTCCTAGCAGGTCCCTAGACATAATGAACAGTTTTGTACAAAATACATAAAAATATTCACTAACAACTTGATGATAGCCAGCAGAGGTAACACCTGCAAGAAATTCAAGTCAGCATCCCAAGCATAGAAACGACAACAATGCATGGAAAAGAAAGTTTAAAGATGTAGGAAAGGAAAGATGGCTGTAAGGGCCATGGATAAGTGAGGGCCAGGCACAATCAGAAAATCACAGCGCCTCACAGAGACTTGGAGAGTAGAATGACCTCAAACATTAGAGCTCTTCGCTGAATCACTGCTAAATCATATAATATCAAATGATAAAGAAGCATTTGTAGTCGTATCACAAAGTTGAGAAAATTTTTAGAAGCTAAAACTTTCCATAATTTTGGTCCACACATGACAGTTCAGAGTTTTATCCTGGGGTCACCTTTGAATCTCCCCTACCAGGGCACATATGAAAAATGAGTCAGGAAACTGGGTTATGGATGGGACTGAGAGGATTACTTGCCAAGTCATCTCAAAATTATAATTATCCGTGGTAAAAGTTATTTGTTGTGGAAATTTTAGGGAGAAATCACTTCAACCACATCAAAACATCATAAAGACATGGAAAATTACACTTTCCCTGCTGTGAAAGATATCTTTTGACGTTTTGTCCAGTCAAATAACTCAAATCAGCTGAACTTTGAAACAAGAGGCTTGGCACACATTTTACGTACTGTCCCCCCTGAGATATTTAGAGTTTTCAAAGTAAAAAGTAACTTGAAAGTAGGTACAAATGAATAACTTTTTTCAATTTTATAATAGTTTATTTTTACATATTTTTGTGCATTTTTCCATCTCAGTTGCAATCCCCTTGGGCTTCCCATCACCAAGTCCCCCATGAAAATGAATAACTTTTAAAATGTGGCAGGGAACACACCCAGTGACAGAGCCACTAAGCAGTGTCCTAAGTTACTTGACCGCAATCTGAGCCACCACAGGCCAATGGTGGATCTGTGTCGTGACAAAAGTACCTCCAACAGCCTGCCTCATATTAAAAACTAGGAAAAACATTTTCTTTGTAGCAAAACTTTGTTAATTCAAATTATAAATGTAGCCTTAGGTTCCATTTTGCCATATCAGAAACATATGTGCCAATGTACTTGCATCAACTTAGTCATGTCTACAGATTTTATTAATTGGTAAAGATTTTGTACAGACATTTGTCATTTTAACTGTTTATATGCCCACTGTCATAGAACATAGGTTTTTCATCTGTGTCCAGAGGATTCTTTAATCATAGAAAGGCAAGTGTAGCTAAAGTAATTCACAGTTTAAGAAAGCAATGTTACTTTCCCCTCTCCCAATCACTAGAGAAAAAGTTTAACACCTAGTCTTACATAACACATCCTTTCTATGTTACAGTGTGTGAAGTCTGCAACTATATACAAGGGTACTTTATTCCTTTTGATCACAAAATTTCCAGGAGTTGGTACATATGTAAAGTCCCCTTATTCCAGGGAGTTGGAATTAAAAATAACTTTTAACTCTTACTGTTCAGTCACTTACACAACACGAACAATATATAGAAACTAATTCCTAAAACTGTATGCTGGGCACAACAGGATCATCATGAAAGTCCTTTTCCCTCCAGCTTATAGTGTAACTGAGTAATACTTACATGCTGTCAATGGGAACAAGATAAAGGAAAATCAAACTGAAAACATGCTAAAACCCTAAGGAGAATCAAAACGTAGTAATCTTCCAATTATCTTTAGAAATGAAATAAATCAAGAAAGGATTATAAATGTGTTTTGAGATAGCTTACAATAAAATAAGAAAATGTAAATATAAAAAATGAAGACTAATACAACCAATTAGACTAGAAAATTATCACCAGAGAAAAATTTAGAACAAATTATGCAGGTAGGAAGATAGTGGAATGGCACAGGGGGAAAAAAAAGAAGAGATAAGGCCTCCCTGGTTGTGCAGCAGGTTAAAGCATAGCACTGAGAAGCTAAAGCCACTTCTGCATGAGTTCGATCCCCGCCTGCCCAGAAGGTGATCCACATGGGGAGGCTGACCTCCCTGGTCCCCTCAACAGTGTATTTCGTTGATCTGCCTGCTCTGCTCCCCACTCTGTCTCTGGTGAATCCTGTCACCCTCCGCATCTCCAGCCTGCACCCCAGTTCTGTATGAATAAATAAATCTTAAAAAAATAATAAAATTAACTAATTAATTAATTAAAAAAGAAGAGATAAGTTAAATAGGAAAAAATAGAAAAAGCAAGCTCTTATCAAGACAAGGATATTTAATTTTGACCATGTATCACCGTATGAATCTGAAATCTTTATAGTAAACCTTTTTCCGTTGGGGAGGGAAAGAATATGAAAGTACTGAGTTGTAAATATACCATATGAAAGTTATACCATAATTTGACTTAGTCTTCTCCAGAGCCAAAGCAAAATAAAATTTAAAAAACTAAAATAAAACTAAATACTATCAGTTGCTTGGATCTCTTTGCTCTTGAGGAGAAATATGCAAATACTTCAATGGAAGCAATGTTTTTCAGGACACTTTAAAAGAAATGTTTTGCCTGAGCTACATAGTAATATAATAATGTAGAGGTAAATGTTCTCAACAGGATCCTCAAATGCAGGTAGTATAACAGTTTTAGTGACCATTCTTGAAAATTGAGGGTACCACATGAATGTATGACTTACTGTTGAAAGCAATTGTTATATGGCCACAGTAATATAAGATATTTAACTTTCTACAGATTCCATCTAACCCAAGGGAAAATAATAGACTACCGAAAAATGAACATTTCAATCTCAAATGTCTTGTTCAGGACTCACAATGACTGGGTGCAACAGGCCAGTGAGGAGACAAAACTGGGGCAGAAGCTTATAAGTAGATGTTAGCTGGCCTACCTGGGGCAGCCGCTTGGTCTCCACAGACTGGCTTTTGCCTTGTGAGAGAGTGGGCTGAGAGCTTCCAGATGTTCTGATTTTTTTAGGAACAGTTGGGAAGCTAAATTTTTATGGGAAATTTCCTGGTTTTAAAATTTTTTAAAATCTAAACTTAGTGTAGACCAAATAAATAATGTTAACAGTGAACTTCTAGCTTACAGTCTATTATGTAAAACATCCTCTTAATAGTACCTCTCTCAGCATGGCTTGGATTAGACTGCATTCTAACAGTTTAGTTCTCCATCAGATCAAACTACTTGCATTTTCTAAATATACTCACTTTTCCTGTGAGGAAAAAAATGTCTTTTTTGTCGCAAGTGACTATTCTCTGAGAAAGCTAATTCATTGTAATACACTTTGCCTAAGCAAAAAAAAAAAAAATGTTAACATAAGGGAGATGATGTGTAGTAACTAAAACAAAAAGAAAAGAGTGTTCATAGAGACATAAAAGGATAGTGAATCCTCAGTTCCTTACAAAGGGACAACATAAACCTGGCCCATAGGCTCAACAACCATCTGGCCTGTAAATCAACGTAGTCCTTAAGTAAGATAGATGCATCAGGCTAATATACCTTCATTAGGTGAACCTACTAGATCTTCCAACTTAGTAACTTTAAATTTAGAAATATATGCAAAAGAATTTTGAATAATTCTGTCCCCTCCCATGTGCCCTAATTTTTTCATTTTAAGATTAAATCGTTGCAGATAATATATTTTCTAGCATATTTGTAATAGTAGACATTAGAAATAAAGTCTTCTGTTTAACACTTAAAAATGTGCACATGCACAATGCAATCTAAATATAATAGCAATTTGTTTATGTCCATCCTTAAAAAGCAAAACAAGTATGAACATTTCCTCCTTTATAATGATTTTACTTGATTCTTTTTCCCCTTGAATTTTCCCCATTCTATGTCCTTCAAAGAATTTTATTCCAATGTAATATGCTTTATGCATAGAAGGTCTTTGTTCATGCCCTGCTATCTTTCTCTGCAATAAAAATATTTCTATAGGGGCCTCCCTGGTGGCCTAGGGATTAAGTCTCAGCACTATCACCAGTATGGCCTGAGCTGGCTCCATGGCCAGGGAGCTGACCACATGTGGTGCAGCAGACCCCTCCTGACTCACCAGTTGTTCCCCTGAGCAGTGTATTGCACTAAATCTACCTGTTCTGCTCCTGTTCTGTCTCTAGTGAATCCTCTTAGTCCCCTTCTCCCCCAACACCACAGTTCTTCAAGCAAAAATCTGAAAAACATTTCTATAACTGACATTCAAAATTAATAATTTTCACCTCGATTAAGTTATTGATAAAATTATTATTAATTCACAGGTGGTCAAACCAATATACATGTATTACAAATTTTCATTAAAACTTACCGAGGCCCTCCCTGGTGGCGCAGCGGGTTAAAGCACAGCACTAAGAAGCTAAAGCCACTTCCACATGAGTTCGATTCCCGCCTGCCCCGGAGGAGACCACATGGCGCGGCAGACCTCTCCTGACCCGCCTGCTGCTCCCCTCAGCAGTGTACTTCGTCGATCTGCCTGTTCTGCTCCCCACTCTGTCTCTGGTGAAGCCTCTCACCGCCCCTGAGCCTCTGGCCTGTACCCCAGTTCTATATGCATAAATAAATAAATCTTAAAAAAAAAAAAAAACTTACCGAAAAAAAATCAAAATTACATTGCAATCAATCTCTTTATAAGATGAATGGGAACTTAAAAAATATATTTCATGTACCTGTGCATGAGTTTTACTTAATAGTAGAATGATAATGAATTTAAAATCAATTCTATTCTTATTTTTTATTTGTATAGAAGTAAACTCTAATAAACTATATTCATACAATAAATAGATAGGAATGGAAGGATGGAAGGCTTTTGTTATTAAACGATCTCTGGCTCCTTAAAGATACATTATGTTGTGATTTTCTCTCAAACATTATTTTTAATGATCTGACATTGAATTTTGTCTTCCTTAACTTTTACTGAAAGCAAAGAGTAAAGGCTACCTGACTTACAAAAGGGTTTTTTAGCCAGCCTTTATACTCCAGTATAATTACTTTTGATTAAAACATACCAAAAAAGACTTTGCCAAGATTTATCAAATAATTATTAATTGTATTTTTTTCACTTACAGGTACCTGTTTAACCCAAACTCAGAAAAGGTAGGGAAAATGGAAATATTTTTTATTTCAATATTTTCTTGCCAAAATATTTTTAAGTAAAATGGCTTTCCTTGTCATACAGTCTGAATATTATTTTCGTCAAAACCTTAGAGCTGTGGATTTAGTCCACTTGTGGAAAATGTCTGCTGTATAACCCAACTGGTAAAGACTCCTGTTTGTCAAACCCAGCTGTCAAGGCCAGACTTAAGTTTCGTTCAGTGAAAGTCTGATTTCATTTTTAAATTCTAATGAGCATGTTTGATCTTATTATAAAGCACATTAAAAACCATTGATAAATAAATTACAAACTATGTACTATCAGAAAAACTAAAAACAGGCAGCTCAAGAGTAAACTGATGCAGGATTAATTTATTTTATAATAATAACTTATTGAAACAAGGGTATTCAATTTCCCTCATTATTTAGGTTATTATTATTCAATGCAATACTATGCAGAAATTAATGCTATTTACATGGCATCATAAAAGGTAAAGTATTCCTTTGGTAAACCTATCCCTGTAAGTGTTAAATTTTGGTATATGCTTTGAAAATCAGAAAGGTTGAATAAAAAATTAGAATAGTCCAGTAACTTCATTTGTCTTTAAACTTTTCCTATGTATTTGATGATAAAAAGGTATCTGCTATTAAAATTAAAAGAGTTAACCCATCATTTTTATTTTAAAGGAAGTAAAACTATATTATTTTGGTTTGTGATTTTCATCTAATATTCATAGGAATGTAGAAGTGTCTGAATATTTGAGTGTCTTCTTGAAATATGCTATAGAATGATTATTAAGACAAGTTGAAAAGACTTGCTTAAATGTAAACAGTGTTTACCATTTCCTACCAATACTCTTGTCTTACTCATTCTAGAACTGTCCTTCAGGAGCAATGGTCAAGTGAGAAAAGGAAACAAGTCATTCAATGAAAATAACTTTCCTTCTCACTACTTACACTCCACAATATACTGTCTCTGCTGTCAGAAAATCCCAACAAGGACCAAAATCCTCTATCCCTCACACTGTGCTTATTGTTAACTAACATGTATTTAACGGTGAATATTTTAGTATGCCATAATTTTTATTACAACATGGTCATTTTTTTGTGAGGGTGGAACATTCGATCTCAAAAATAATGTTCTGTTTGAGGTTCTTTTATCATAACATACTCAAAAATATCTGTGGTGCCACAAGACTATGATAAATATAATGCTTCTGCACTTACTCATTAATATGCAGTCAATGGGAAACAAAAAGCATTAACAGCTATTTTAGGAAGATATGCAAGTATAAAGAAAGAACACAGGGCTACTGAGATAAGTTGCTGACACAGTTAGCACAACTCAATCAGCATTTGTTAAGAGGTAAGGAGGTTAAACTGGCCACATAAAATAGGGGCTTTTAAGCCCTCCCTGGTGGCCCAGCGGGCTAGATCTCAGCACTACAAGCAAGCCGTTGTCACTTCAGTGGGAGTTGATCCCCCAGCAGACCTCTCCTGACCTGCCCGCTGCTCCCCTCAGCAGTGTACTTCGTTGATCTTCCTGTTCTGCTCCCTACTCTGTCTCTGGTGAATCCTCTGACCACCCCCTACCTCTGACCTGTACCCCAGTTCTGTATGCATAAATAAATACATCTTTAAAAAAATAGAATAGGGGCGTTTAATGCATAGAATTATATCCGTGCAGCCATTTCACAGAAATAGTCTTGCTCAGGCAAATAAGACCATTAAATATGACCTAAAAGTTTATTATATTTCCCTTACTTAAGTGTGTTTTTTCTAAACTATATGTGAGCTGTGGAGATTTCTTCTTTCATTAATTCTAATCATAAAAAAATTTACTTTCTAGGGTTGACTAAAACAGGTTGAACAAAACAATCATAATAAGGACTGACAATTGCTTCATAGTTTAGTTTTGTACAGTACTAGAATAGCAACTAGAGTCTTGAAAAACTCAACTTAGGAATTTTAGCATTTTAGCACAAACTGTGGGCAACTAGTATGGAAAACTGGATTTAGAATAGAATGCTTATGAGGGACTCCTGATGGAAGCTGAGGCCACTGTTGCCAGTGTCAGACTTAATGGCCAGGTAAACTATCTGGAACAACTTAAGGTATGCCAGTGTGTTTGCTCTCTGTTCTCCTCGATGAATATTATCCTCTGGGTATAGCATGAGATAGAGACCTGAATCTTCTAGACTCCTGGTTGGCTTCTCACTATATGAGCCAGCATACAGTGTTGTGTCATGATATTTTTTTTGGTAGAGCCTTGTCTGTACCTTGTCTTGTGAATACAAGCCAACTCCTTCATCTGGTGTTCAACTTGAGAAATTCCCAATACTAAAGCAAAATTGGCTCCCTTAGACTTTTGGAGGGGTTATATGTCAACAAAATGGCAATTTACTGAGGTGGGTTTTTTTTTTAAGTTCAATTTCTTTTAAAATTATCATTATGAAGTATTTTAGGAATACCATAAGTATGTCATTTAAATAGTTATTTCTTCATTTAATTTGCACAAAGTAAGTGTAAATACAATGCAAATCTACTTTTTAAGAATTCATTGAGTGCTTATTGAGTGAATATTATTTCATATATTCCTCTCAATCAACTGTGGAAGACGATGTCATGGTATCCATTGTATAGACAAGAAACTAAGTCTCACAGATATTAAATTTACCAGCTTGAAACCCACAGAATTAATTGTGGGTCCAGGTTTCCTTGAACTTAAACCCTGTGTTCTTTTCTTCAAATCAAGATATTGAATAACCCAAGAACTATTAAAAAATGAAAAGAAAAAAGTGAGATTTTGACAATTACGAATGAAACCAAGTGATCTCTGTAGGGGGGAAAAGTGGGCTAAACTGCAGGACCAACTTTTGGAATAGTTTGTGAAACTGGAAAAAAGTTACAGCAAATCAATTTATTATAATGCATTTGGGGGAAAGATCTGAGTTACATAGTACTTGAAGGGTTGTAAGCTAAGAGATCAGCAACCAGGTCCAGCACAGACACTCCATGCATACATTTAGCCTTGCACGCTGCTTGCACACTAGTGTGGGTGTGCTCAGTAAATATTTGTGAAATGAATCAGGATCTAGTTTTACTACTATAGCAACTTCCCTGGAGAAATGTAACCCAAGGTATACAATCATGTTGATGATGGACAACGTGTCTACTACATCCCTAGAATGAATATTATATAGAGGTAGCAGACATCACTTATTTGTTCAGCTACAAATCACTTCCATCCCTGACCTTTGGTTGAATTGGACCTGTCCAGGCGATACTTGTACAGGAAGCCCAGCCATAGAACTCAGTCCTCTGACTTCACTGTGCAGTCAGGTAGCCCTCCTATACATCTGTTCTGACCTGCTGGAGTCCTTTCCCTCTCCTCTGCCTCAGATACTGAACCCCCTTATGTCATACAACAGAGTCATGTGGTATGACACACTTACATGACTCACAGGGACATATTAACATCTTTTCCTTTCAACGTTGTCTCTGGGGCCTCTACTCACCCATAATTGCACACAAGCCCCATAAGCTGCTCTTGCTGCTGCCCACACTCTTTGGAAATGAAATTAAAGTTCTGCTTTCATAAACTAAAAAGAGAAGGAAAACTGGTTCTCACACTGCAACTGGTAGACTTTCCTTCTAGGTAGCAGGTGAGTTCTGTGAAGCTAATATTTCCTAGAACAGCAATCTCCAACTGGAGTCCCTTAATACAGTCATTCTCAAGCAGGGGTGATTTTGTCCTCTCCCCTCAAAGGGACATTTGTCTATATGTAGAGACATTTCAATTGTCACAACTGGAGTGGGGAGAGTTGGAAATGCCATCTAGTAAGTAGAGGTCAAGGATATTGCTAAATATCTTACACTGCAGAGGACAATCTCCAGTAACAACAACAACAACAACAAAAAAAAACAAAATGCTAGCAGTGCCCAGACTGAGATTCTGCCGTAGGTTTATACATAAGGCTACCTAGGGGTGAGTATGTTAAGCTGATTAGTTATGTATTTTCAATTTGCAACTAATTTCAACTAAGTAGCTTAAAAATGTATTCTCTAGTCATACCCATTAAAATGAAAAATTCTATAACAGTAGATATAGGTTATCTGTCTCACAATTAAACATGGTTATGTGTTTCACAGCTAAAGTTAGCAATTTAGCTAATGACCACTGTAAGGGAGAAAACATTGGCCTAGTTAATGAATTTAATCGATTCTCAAATTAAATGGTTGTTAAGTAGAGACTTCTACTGTGTACAGAATCATTTTCTGTAGGAAAGTACACTCACTAAATCTGCTTTGCCAGAGAAATCCAAATAATTTTCCAGGGCAGAAAATTCTAGTTAAGTCATTATAGCCTCAGAATAGAAAGTTAAATAGAAGCACATACTGTGACTTTTCTGATAGTTTTTCTCATTGTGCTGGTGGCATTCCTCCTTTAACTGTGATAATCTTGAAATCTGTCTCACACTGAACTAGGAGTCTTCAGCCTAGAACACATAGAAATGGTACAAATGCCAACAGTTGTTTCCAAATAAACCAGGCATAAAAACAAATTCTTTGATAAGAGAAACAGTTAACATTAGCAATTATAATTCACTGTCAGTAAAAACAAAGATTTATTATTACCATGCCTTATGCTGATACTCCTCAGCCTTATCTCTGTATTTTTACAAAATGAAAACACTGAAGGAAATGAGAGTCTGCCTTCTAAACTGGTATTGGTCTAGGTATCCTTGTCACTGTTAAGTTGGAATCCTAGAATGGCTGCTATACCCAGGTCACGACTCCTGGACCCCTTAGCTTTTGACTCCAGCAAGTAGAGCAGAAAAGAAAGTAAAGAGCTAAGGTAATGTTGATCTCATCCAACTTTCCTGAATATTTGGTGGGGTGGAACCTGAGAATGCCACTATCTGAAACTCCTTTTCTGCAGTTAGGGAATCCAAAAGCTAGTTCTTCCCGCATGAGAGAGGATGTTTTTTACAGGGAACCTT